GAAATTCTTAGGCTATTGGAATTTTCAGTCTGTTTTTCATGCAGATGCTAAAAGATTCCTATTGGCTTGGAATGACTCGAAGACCAACTCTCTTATCTGGTCATTTATCCCTGGAGCTGTTTTATGGACAATTTGGAAGACCATGAATTTTATAGTGTTTGAAGGAGGGAAGCTTGATCGAGCAGAGATTTTCTTTCTAGCAAGGTGCAGGCTTGCTTCATGGTTTCTAGCTAAGGAAACTCATAATACTATTTCCAAGGATGATCTTATTGCTGACCCTTCCTTAGTGGACTCCTACTCGTCCCATTCGAATCAGATTTCAACCATGTTTCCTTGGGCCCCTCCTCCAAAGGGTTTTGTTAAACTTAATGTGGATGCGGCTACTTCGAGTGATTGGAAGAGGAGTGGTTTAGGTGGTATTTTGAAAGACATGTCTGGTTCGATTCTTGCTCCTTCAAAGAGCCTGTTGGTCCAGGGCCCCCAACTTTAATGGAATTGAAGGCTATCCTAAAGGGTTTAGATTTTTATGAATCTATTCGTCATAGGTTTAAAGATAGATTGATTATTGAGAGTGATAGTAAGGTGGCAGTTGGCTGGGTTAAGGATGTGGTCTCTTGTCCTGTTGTTTATGTTCATATTGTTAAAGACATTATTCAAAAGCTTAGTGTTTATGAAGGTTTTATTAGTTTGGTTAGTAGGACAGCCAATATAGAGGCGGATGTCCTAGCTAAGGCTGGTATTGGTTGAATTATGTTATGTTAAGGGCTGTTTCTTTCTGGTTTTGTATCTCTTGAGGGAGATTAGTTTGTATTACTTTGTTATATTTGAGGTTAATGAAATCCTAGGGCACTCTTTTCCTCCTTGTGCGGATTAAGGAGCTATTTTTAAGTTCCGTTAATCACGAAGGGGGTTTTATTGAGGCCTACTATTCCTATAAAAAAAATATCATCTAATTATTGTTTTCATGAACATTGTCAAAGAGGCATATATTTGCAGTTTATCCAGTATTTTGTCTTATGCTTCAATTTCTAATCTAAATGACCTGAATTTGTTTATGAATGAATTTTCGTAGGAAACATTAATTTATCATTGTCAAATAAGCATATGTTTGCAATTTAACCAACATTTTATGTCTCGTGCTTCAATTTCTAATATAAAGATCCGACTTTATGACTGAATTTTGGTAGGGAACATTTTAGACTTTCTATGAGTGATCTGATTTAATCGTCATTTAAAATGCAGGGCTCAAGTATTTGCTCGGTTGTAATTGATGGGGAGAAGTATTTGGTTGCCTTTGGTGGGTACAATGGGCAATATAATAAGGAGGTATTTGTTAAACAGTAGTTTATACAAAATCACTTTCTTGAAGTGCCCATGCTGATCTATATGCCTTTATGCATCATTTTACCTTTTCCTTGATATTATAATGGTTTTCTGTTGATAGGTTTTTGTTATGAAACTCAAACCAAGGGACTTATCTCATCCGAAGATTTTCCAGTCCCCTGCAGCGGCTGCAGCAGCGGCTTCTGTTACTGCTGCATATGCATTGGCGAAGTCCGAAAAATTGGAATTCCCACAAATAATAGATCTGAACTTCAATGGAGTTGAAAAGATTGTTCCTCAAAAGGATATCAGTATTGAACTTGATGCAATTAAAGAAGAGAAGAAGGCATTGGAGTCATCGATTGAGGAAGTCAGGGTCGAAAACACTAGGATGAGGGAGAAGATTGATGAATTAAGAAGCAATCATACTGAATTATCGAAGGTATGCTCTTGAAGTGACTAAAAAAGTCATTGTCAATTATGTTGCTCTGACTACACCGAATTCCAAGTAACACAGATGATTGACAATCGGTTTAGAGTTTTTGCTGTATTTAATTTCTTGTTGTTGAGCAGGAATTCCAATCTGTCCAAGGTCAGCTGATATCAGAGAGATCAAGATGCTTTAAACTTGAAGTTTGTCAACTTTTTCATGTTCTCATATCTTTATGATTTCATTTTAGCGTGTTGAGTATTCTTTTTTCAACTTCTCGGGCTCGAGATCTGACATAGGGTTATATATCCAGACTCAAATTGTAGAACTACAAAAGATGTTGGATTCATTAAAGACCGTAGAAAACAAAGTGCAAATACTTGGGAGACAAAAGTCTGCAATGGAGGAGATGGAGCTTTCATCTGCCCAGCAGGAAGGTTCGGGTGGTGTTTGGCGGTGGATAGCCGGAGGCACATAGAAGTTCCATGTTGTTTGATACAAAAGGATCGTACTAGAGTTGCTCCGGTATCAATGAAGTAATGACTAGGCAAGTTCCAACCCAAGTGGTATCAGAGTAGATGATGCACACCGTTTACACGTGTTACGGTAGTTTTCTTAATAAGTGTTTGTGAGCTTCCGAGTTTCGATTTTGACCATTAAAATTTTGTGGAGGAAATAGATTCTGAATTTGTTCAAATTATAGTTTTCGTGGGCTCGAGGTCATTTTATTGACAGCTAGTTCCTTATTTTGTTTTGCATATCCGATTATACATTGTCCTGCACATCTAAGGAATCTCTTGCATACTACAAATTTCGTTGCCCCTTGTGACCATACATTTACAAAATCCACATCTTTTCCAGAAAACGAAGTATATGTTCTTGCGATTTCAATAGCATCTTTGTATTCTTTTTTCTGAGAATTTTCTTTTTAAAAAAAAATAAAGAAAAAAAAAACGAGGGAAATCTTACATTGATGATTGCCAGTAAACTTACTTTGCCTTGTATTATCATGGGCCGTTATAAACCCTGACAATTTGCATCATCCTGGTTTTTCTGCAATTCGTTAACCCCCCCCCCCCCTGGTGTTTGTTTATTTTGTCATATAATAATAGTAGTTAATGTATTTTATATTTATATCAAGTTTGGTACAGTAATGATATATAGTAGGGTAAATTATGCGTTTAGTATCTACACTATTAGTTTTGGTTTATTTTAGTTAGTACTTAAATTTTCAATTTTTTTAAAATATTTACTTTTTGTTTCATTTTAGTATTATGTTCAAAATTTAACGTTAAGTTTTGATTTTTTTTTTAAGTTTATGTAATAAATCAGACCAAAATTTATAGTTTAAGTATTAAACGTGTTATATTTTTAACGATGAATATTAAAATAAAACAAAGACAAAATGTTATGTATGATTTTGGAAAAATAAAAATTTAAGTACTTATGTGTCTTGTCTGTGTAGTGTGATGCCGTGTTTTAATTTTTTTAACAATTAATATTTAATTTTTTTTTATATAATTTGGGTCTGTCTGCTGACAAATTGAATACTATTCAAAAGGATAAATATCTATTTAAAATTTGAATCTGATATCACTATTTAATTTGATATTAACATTTTATTTATTTAAATACTAAAAAATTAGGTTTAATTAGGCATCTGAACTAGACTTATTAAAACTGGTGTCTAAATTTAGTTATTTGTTTTAAATTTGTATTTACAATCTTTGATAATTTTGAACTAGTAAGTCAAATTTAATCATAAATTCAAATCAAAAAGTATAATTCAATTAATTAGTTGGATAAGAAAATTAAGTATCAAATAAATTTTAATGGCAAAAAGACATAAGAGGTCTCTGTATTCAAATCAAAAAGTATAATTCAATTAATTAGTTGGATAAGAAAATTAAGTATCAAATAAATTTTTACTTAAAAAATTATCAAATAATATTTATTTTATAAAAAATATAATTCAAAATTTAAAATTATACAAACATTACCATTCAAAATCCAAATGTGCATGTAACTTAAATAATAATTTTTTAAAGACTTAATCATTTGACAATTAATGCTCTCGTATCAAGCAATCTCTAGTGTTTGAACTTGCGATCTCTTGGAATAACAATCATTTCTTAACCATCGAGGTAACTTGGTTCATGGTTAAATAATAATCAACTTTTATTCAACTAATTTACATAGTTATATCAGTCTAATAATCAAATTTATTAAACATTTGAATTTATCAGATTATTTTTTTAAATCAAATTTAAATAAATGAAAAACTAAATATATAAATAAATATCATATTCAAATATCCAAATATGTGATCTGCAGAAATAAAGCAAATTTAGATTAAAAAAAATAGAGTAAATTCACAATGATGAATATCAATAATTCAGAATGCTGTCTGAACTGAAGAATAAGTCTGATCTCTCAGTTAAAAAAGACCAGAAAAAGAAATTATATGTAGATCTCTTATTAAGCATGTATTTGATTTTAGATATATAATTTTTTATTTAAAATATTTAAATATATAAAAAATTATAGTAATTATTTATTATCATTTGAAGTTGAACATTCTAATATTTTTTCAATTTACTTTGTTAATTAACTTGTTATACTAAGTTAATCAAATATTTGTTTTAGTAATAATATAGATAAAAACTAAACGCAACCCAAAAGTTCAATTTTTGACAGTCTACCGCATCTTAAACTGAACCAATCCAATTTTACAACTCTAAGTTTTTATCTTTCTGAAATACAATAAGTGTGTTCTTTAATAACCATTCAATTCATTGAACAAATAATTTATATTTCAATGGTATAAAAGTTATTATAGAAATAACTCTCAATAAATATATTATATTCCATTCATAATGTCAAAATTTAAACTCTAAATATTATTTAAATCTGACAATTGAAAGGTGTGTTTAACTTGAACGACTCATTTGTGAGTTGTCGTTTAAATGTTTTGGGTAAGAAATTAACATATTGACGGACCGACCAACATCATTATTTCCTTTTCCTAAACCGTTGGTTGCTGGCATTCATTCACTACTTGCACGGCAGATGGTTAAAACTTGACTCGAAAACAGGTTTAAACAACTCGTACTAACCGTCTACACAACTGCTTATGTTCATTTCTTTTTTAATATATGAAAAGACCTAAACAAATTTGAAACACGAACAGATCACCCATTACCCAAATGCTTATGAGCATCCTACACAAATAAGATGAAAAAGGTGCTTAGAGAATGAAGCAAGCAAGCAATTGTTTCATAATAGCTTACAAACCCAGATTATTATGTCTTGTATCATGTACCTTACAACTTTATATGGTGAACAATTCTTTAAGGACTGTAACCGAGATAATAAGTTTAAGACATGGTTTCGGATTCGGCGATCATCACAAAAAAAGAAAATAAATTATGAGACATCACCCGGTCTACTATCCTAGTCAACCTACAGTGGTAACTAGTATATTACCCGACATTCGTAATCAGTCGACGTGTTTAATGAATTATATACCATACCTTGAGCAAAGGCAGCTCCCCATCTTTAGACTGGCAGAAATTATTAGGACCCAAAATAACATCAAGAAGAACCATCCTCTTGAAACAACAGGCCCCGTCTTGCCGGAAAGTAGGCCAGCCGTTGGCAGAAAACTGGAAGAGTTGATATCACCTTGCGGCAAGTTAAAAGAAAGAACAATGTTGACACTCCCGTTTTTGTTATACGACCAGTCCAATCGATTGCCAGAAGATGCCATGTTTTTTATTCTTATCATGCCAGACATAACATGAACAGAACTTGAAGCATGTGAGGCAGAATTTAGCTTGAGCGCAGCAGCATCCTTTGAAGGGAGTTCAGAGGCAAACGCAGGAGGAGCAGGAAAGCTACCCAACATGTGACTAGCCTGTTTAATAAATGGATACTTGGTACCTGTACCACAAATAATGCACCAAAAGTGAGCTCAATTGAATACAAATGTTAGAATTTCACTTTAAACAATGGCATTAAGAGTTAGGCAGTTCCAAACATCTTACCAAGTTCAACTTTTGTGGCCTCTGGCTCTTGCTTTGAAGAGGATGCTTCACTATTGCCATGTTCTTCAATTTGTTCGCTCGCATTAAGCTCTTGTTCAGTTCCTTCATTTGTATGCTGTTATCAAGAAGTAATTTAATTAGGAACTGCACAAATTTATGTACTATGGCAAATAAAAAGGACAGGAAATAACTATGCACCATTTGGGTAAGAGGTTCTTGGCCAGAAGCAGGAACATCACTTCCCACAAATTGATCATAATCGAAGGCCAACAACTGATCATCAGCATCATCGAATAAAAGATACTCCTGAATGTCAAAAAGTTCAGAATCTGGTTCAATGGGGTTTGAAAAATCATTAGCTTCCAGGAAAAGTTCTTCATTGGTCGGAAGATAATCAGTATCATCCTGGTATGGGTCTTCAAACACATAGTCTGTGGAATTGAATTTTTCAATCGGTTCAAGCACAAATTCTTCCTTAACTGGTTTTACATTTGTAGCTGTCACCCTTGGCTCAGGTAAATCCGAGACCACAACCTCATGATGTGGCTTTGAATCATCTTCAGTGGCATGCATGCAAGTAGGCTTCTGATAATCTTCTTTGAACTCCATTGAATGTTCAGCACAGTTGCTTGATTCCCCATAATAGAATGTGGAAGGGTGGAATGCATTATCAGACATATTTTCTGATGGCTTTTGATTGTCTTCACTGAACTCGCTTGAATGTTCCACATGGTTGCTTGATTCCCCACAGTGGCCGTTCAGTGGCAGGATAATGTTGTTTTCAGATGGATTTCCAATGTCAAGATTCTGTCAAGAAGCAACAATTCATAATTATGATCAGTCGTCTAGCAGTGAAACTAACTCATTCATAGCACGAGTGTCTGACCAAGGATTGCTACAATTTATAACAATATTAACTGACGCTGTAGTGTCTCAAAGATTTCATAAGCATGCCAAGCCTTAAGGGCGACTCTGATTTGTGGGATTTACCCATAGCCGTAATAGAACTTCAATAGAAAACATCACAAAATGCCAAGTTGATCAAAAATAAAGCTTAGAAAAAGTAAAAGCCTCAATACACTCAACCCAGCTCTAAATTGCATACCCATGCACCTCACTCTGGCAATATTACTTTTTCATGAAAATCAGATTTATCTCGTTCACGAAAGATTTAGGGGAAAATGGAATATAAAATAGCAATTATTAAGTTATGCCAGGAGAATGAGTGGGGTCAACATGTTTTTGTTTTCAACAGGAAACAACATGCACGGACAATTAAATAGCTTGCCCGGAAACATTTACTAGCTTATTTTATATTGTTTCGTATCCTATAAACTTTCATTAGTTATTATCATTTTCAATTAAATTGCAAGGCATAATGCAAAAAAGTTCATTCAAACTTCCAAACATAACAACATAAAATATAGCAAAGGTCAAGTTTCTGAGCACAAAACAAGCCATAAACACTACAGACCTCAACAATATCATTCACTTCAACAAAAGCGTCATCATTGGCACCTTCTTCATAGACTGCTACATCATGTTGACCAGGCACAATAACTGCCTCATCTTCCCATTCTTCTTCGAAAAAGGGTGCCCCATACTGCTCCCCGTTCTTTGGCCCAGACCCACTCTTCTGAAACACCCTACACAAAACAAAAGCATCCTTCCAGCCCCAACAACCCAACATTAATTCCCAAACAAACACCAAATCACCAAAACACTACAAAAAAGATTATATAATCTTTACCTGTTGAATATCTTTCTCCAATGCCTCATCAGTAAGGCGGTACTCGTGCATTACCCAGTTAGTACGTTCACCGCGTGGAGCTCGGCCTTTATGGTAAACAAGGGTTTTCTTCATGCCAACCACTCTTTCCCTAAAGCAAATTGCACGGTCCTTTCCAGTTGTCTTCCAGTAGCCTCTATCAGTTGCCCTATTGGTCCTCGACCCATTTCCATATTTCTTGTCCAGTGCACTGAAGAAGTACCACTCCAGGTCCCTGCTCTTCAGCTTTGACTTATCTATTAAGAAGAAAATATTGATTTTCAATTTAATAAACTCACCCAAAATTCTAGTTTTATTATATAAAGTACAAACTTTAAATTTAAACTAGATAGAGGCGGATTTAAAAAAAAAATCAAGAATTACAGAAAAAAAATCCTAAAAAGGCGTAAAATGTGTATCGTCAAAAGCTTTAAAACAGAAATGGAAAACATAACCCAAAATTAGGAAGTTAAACGTGTAATTAAGCAATTAATAGCATCCCAGATTAAAATAACCTAAAATAAAAACCCCTAAAAGAAGCTTATTTTTCTAACCGAGTATCTTCAACAATCAAACCTCAAACACAAACTGAATTTCCCCAATAACCCATGAACCAAAATACAATTAACAAACAACGAAACCGAATCTTTGGTCCAAGATTAAAGGAAATTATCATGAAATTCAAGAACCAAATAAACAATTGACCGAGCCAAACAAAAAGAGAATTGAAATGAAAGAAAAAAAATTAAATAAATTACCTGGGAGATCCCAAGGCTCGGATCTGTAAATATCGATAATAGAGATCAAATCGAAAGAAGGCCTATTCAAGATTTGTCGTTTCAGATAGTAACGAACGAGTTCCTCGTCAGTCGGGTGGAACCGGAACCCGGGTGCTAGAGAGGTTGCTGAATCATGACCCACCCATCTAATCAGAATGACTAGAATAAAAGGAAAGTTCAACGTTTTAAAAGAAGTCAGATTTTTTAGGGTTTCGGAAGGAAGCTTAACAAAAATTCTGATCTTTCAAAGAAAAGACTTTACCGACCGCGGCATGTCTCCTGTGGCTGTGTACCAAAAATATATTAGGAAATTTTAATCATAAAGATGTAGTGTGCTAATTGTTTATTTCATTTTCAAAATGATAATCAGGATTAAATATTAAAATATCTTAAATTATTTAATTTAAAATATTAAATTGACATACATATTAAATGTTTAAACTTAAGTTTTTTTAGGAAAAAGTAATGATTAATTTATATATAATACTTAAATTTATAAATATAAAATTATTAATTAGCCAAGAAAATTGGAGTGGTAATGATAAAATGATTATTTATTTATTTATTTTCATTAACATAAAATAATTGTAAGATAATATTTGTTTATTTTAATCAATGACAATGTATACAACACACATTCTACTTATACAACTACATGAATTAACTTTAAGAAAAGATAATATTTCTTTAATCATTAAAGTCACTCAATTTTTAATCATAAGATTAAAAAATTGATCTTTATCTATGAAAATAAAATGCATTTTAAGATCAAATCGTTTGTCTTATTAATAGTATTCGTGTTGTCCATTCATGTTTTGATCAAATGATTTTTTTTTATTAATCTGAAATGATTATAAGATAATATTTGTTCATAATATTTTTTAGTCATTGATAACATATATAATGCACGTCTTACATACACAATCATATGAATTTATGACCTCAAAAAAACATTTTTTAATCACTAAATTTACCCAATAAGTTGAATGCCTATTTATTCTTATGAGATTAGAAGTTTTATCTTTATCAATGAAAAATAAAATACATTTTAGGATCAATTATTTATATCTTATTCATAGTATCCGTGTTGAAGGGATTAATCATCAATGCTGATGGTAAATATTCAAATTTCATAAAAAAAAGTGATTTTGGTTATAAATGTTGATAAGGATTATATTAATTATAACAATAGAAAATTTTATATTTGAGTTAATATTTCAAATTTTTAACTAATTTACTGATTTTTAATTTAAGTTATTATTTGATATTGTTAAAATAACTCATACCATTAAAAAAATAATGTATTTATCATTATTTTATTATTATTGTGTAAATAATTGCATAAAGTATACAAATGATCTTCGATTATATGGAGTTACTTTATTAAGCGCCTGACTATAAAACTTACAAAATGGTCTCCTAACTATAAGGTATTATTTTCTTGAGCCATCTGACTATTAAAGGTCACAAAATGAACACTCGACTATTCATATGTACTAAATTCGTCTTTTTTCCATTAAAAAAATAACTATGGGTTTGAGTTAGATGTTAACATGATGATTGGAATATGATAAAATCATATTTTTAATTATGTCAATTGGCATTATCGTTGCTTTCAAGCATTGACTCGATGACATAATGTAAAAATAAACTCGATTCACAAAATATAGCTCAAATATTTTTGAAATCATATTTTATCATATCTTAATCAATAGGTTAACATTCAACTCAGACAACCGTTAATTTTTTAACGATCAATGATGAGTTTGGAACATATGAATAGTCAGATAGCCATTTTATAACTTTTAATAGTTGCATGATTCAACAAAATAACACCCTAAATTCGAGAGACTATTTTATTACTTTTAATAGTTGAAGGATTCAACAAAACACCACCCTATAGTCAATGGACCACTTGTGTACCTCATTATCTTTTGTGTAAACTACGCATTTAGTATATAAACTATCAATTTTCATCTATTTTAGTACTTAAACTTTTAATTTTTTAAAATCATACCTAAAGTTTATTTCTTGTTTTATTTAATACCCGTCGTTAAAAACTTAACGTATTTAGTACCTAAACTATCAATTTTGGTTTATTTTAGTACTTTCATTTTTTTTCAAAAGTTATTGTTGAATTCTGAATAGGGTACTAAAATGAAACAAAAACAAAATTTTAAGTATGATTTTGAAAAAAATGAAAGTTCAAGTATTACAACAAACTAAAATTAATAATTTAGGTACTAAATACGTAGTTTAACCAAAGTTTTCTATTAATGGGAAGTGTATATTAGAAAGCGCATGCTAAAATTTTTGTAGAAACTGGGTGTTGACTGTTGAATAGCAATGTGACACGTGTATTTTAGTGGTTGATTTACGGATATTGACGTAATCACACCCGTCACTTTTTGAGATGGTTAAGGAAATATATGAAATGATTATGTTACCCTTCTACATGGGTAAAATATTTGGGTCTTTCATTTCTTATATATATATATAATATTTATTTTATTTTACGTGAGTTCCAATAACTTCAAATTTACATATAAACACGGTTAAAAAAGATTGCATATAATCTATTATGTCGCGTTAGATTACATTCGTCTTATTTTGAGAAAAAAATAATTATTAAATATAAATGATCACGGTATAAATTTAAATTAAAATTTGAGTAAATAATAATAATTATTTAAAATAACTTTTAGTTATTTATTTTATATAAATTATATGAATAATTAAATGTTATCAAATAAAATTATTTTATTACTAAATTAAAATAAACGATACCTCAAAATATATCTTTAAAGTTGGTTATACATTTTTTATATTTTATTTTTATAGAAGTCAATAGTATTATTAAAAAGAATAAATATTTTAAATTACAATAAAGATTTATAATTATAATCGTAAATTAATATAATAAGGATATTTTTTTAAAATTATTAACATAAAAACTAGCAACTTAAGATCACATAAGTATCATACAAAGAAAGATTTAAAAACCTAACCAAAACTCGAACAAGTAAATATACAAATAGATTTGATTGCATAAGTAAACGAACTACAAAAGATGATTAAGCTAATGAAAGAACAACAAAAAATTATAAATCAAAGTCGAGAGATTTGAAAAAATTACTCATGAACGCAAATCGAGTATCTAAATTCAACTCGATGATCTAAAACAAGGAAGATTAATATGATAACAAATAAGTGTCATCTTAATCAGTCGTGATAGTGTACAAAATTAGACATTCCTTTAATTGTTTTTTTTTACATGAGACGACGAAATGATAAAGTTACTCTAAGCTTATAATGGGTGTTGTTACCAGGAAATCATTTGGAAGGATAAAGTTATTTCATATGTCCTTCGGTAAAATTGGACTAATAATCCAAGAGCATTAATTATTTGGCCCAAGAGACCAACTATAACATTATTTGTTGTAGTATAAGAAGAACTCGTCACCCCCATATGACGAGTTTTTTCCGAATATTATTTATTAATGGACCCAAGTCTATGTGCCCTATATGATCGAATTGTTTTATTAATTTCTCTAGAACTCATCATGTCCACGTGACAAGTTCTATTAAAATATACATATATTAAAAAAAGAGGAACTCATGGGATGACGAGTTTCATTTGAATTTGAAAAGGGTAGTTTGTTGAGATTTATGATGCTCTATCGATCAACCGAAAAAGTGCCAAGAGGGTGTGAATTGGCTAAATAAATTTTTTTGGGAGTATGGGGAGAAAAGATAGAAAATTTGCACAAGTATTTAGAGTGGTTCAACTTCCTCAACTAAATTTACATCCACTATCTTAGCTCCACACTAAGGATTGCTAACAAATTCACTAATATGTTCTTTCTTTTTATAGGCTCAAGAGTAACCTTTTACAACTCCCTAGTTTTTCAATGGCTAAACTAGAAACCAACCCCTTTTTCAAAAGGATAAAAAGAATGTAAACAAGAAACATCTCAAAGGAAGATGTTTACAAATTAAGCTCACTAAAAACACACTATTTACAAGAGGAAATGGAAAATAAAGAATGAAAGCTTTTCTCTTGATGATCAATGCTTGGATAGGTGTTGTGTAACCTTCTTCAAGTGTCTTGAACTTCATTTTATATGTTGGAATGTGTTTGTGACCGTTTCTAGCCGTTGAAGATGTTTTGGAGCCATTGGGGACTTAACTGCTACAAAATCAAATTGCCAAGAATAGGGAGTATCGATACTCGGGCTTGGAGTATCGATACTGCACTAATAAAAAACTAGCCTTTTTTCAACCTTTGGGCCATGAGTATCGGTACTGAGATCTTGGTATCGATAATACTATACAAATTAGTATCGATACTCCTTTAAGTATCGGTACCAAAAATGCCTACTGAAATCTTAACACATTTAAAACCAATAAGTAGTATCGGTACTACCATAAGGGTATCGATATTTTCCTTACCTTGGGTATCAATACTATAAGAACAATATCGATATTGTTCATATGGTATCGATAATATAAGAACAATATCGGTACTTCTTTCTAGATAATCATTTTTGTGTTCAAATTCAAGTTTTATGGACTTTGAACTATTTTTGATAACTTTGAATAAATTCAATTTAGTCCAAAAACATTTTGCCCTTAAAATTGTTATATCAAAATATGTTCAACAATCTCCCCTTTTTGATATAACAAAATATTTGAAATGGCATTGGAAAAACTCCCCCTTAATAAAACATTTAATGAAAAAGAGTAATTTATTGGAAAGATATTAAAGCTCCCCTTTTTCATTCTTAATATTGAATTTTTCAAACCAATATTTCTCAACCCTTTTTGTTATATAAAAAATAATTCAAACATTTAGGTTCAAAAATAACAATGGAGATTAAGTATAAATTTTAACATAAAATCATTTGAAAAATCAAAAGCTTCCCCTCAACAAATGCATTACAAGAAAAACATTTCGACTTTAAAGGCTTGACACTTAAAAAAATTTGAATTTGAACAAAGATGAACAAACATGTTTGTAACACATGAAATTCTATAAATCCAAGTCTATAATACTTTACGCAATATTAACATGAAACATTAAAGTTCATATGCATAAAGTTATTAAAAATGTCATGCATTTAAAATTTTTGATATAAATTGTTAGAGAGATAACATTTTCAATAAGCATACATGCATAGAAATTTAAATTTAAGGTCAAAAATAAAATTTTGTAAAAGAAAACAAA